GCACTTGGGAGGCAGAGGCAGACAGATCTCTGAGTTCAAGGCCAGCCTGATGTACAGAGCGAGTCCCAGGACAGCCAGAACTGTTACACAGAAAAACCCTGTGTCAAAAAACAAGACCAAAAAATCATTTATTCAAGACTCTGATAGAGGCTGATCTGAAGCCTTGATCAAGTGCTTCTTTTCCTGCTCCAACTCATCCTCTGTGTCCCCCTCTCATGCTCTCCCAGCCCTCAGGCTCTCCAATGCTTGTAGATGGAGTCCAGATTCCACCATAGATGGAACTTGTCTTCCACAACACTTGTAACTTGTAACTTGTCTTCCACAACACTCTACCTTCATCTCTTCTAACTCCCTCTTTCTTTGTTGTATTCTGGCTACCCCAACTGCTCAGCACTCATGGCACAAGCTAAGCTCCCTACCCACACACCTTTAGGCCTTCCCCATTGCTTTCTCCCAGATCCTACAAGCCCTTTGTCTAGCTTCTATTCATCTTCTGGGAACCTACTCAGGCTCCCACAACCTGCTTTGAGATTTCACCCTCAATTCCAACACTGTTCCCACGGTATTTTGTGCCCATTTGTTCTCTAGTGGATCTCATGCAATTGTAGTTAACTTTTCACTTCCTTTACCCTCCAACTGGTCTATAATATCAAAGGGTAGAGGCAGGGAGAACAAGAGACTAAGAGACACAGGTGGATATGTTTGTGTCTTTCTCTGATGTCAGAATTTGTTAAATAGCGAACCTGCATCCATTTCACTGGCTGCAATTTGCAACCTCTTCATGTTTTAACCCCAGAGAGCCCGACATGTAATATAAGCTCAGTTCCTATTTGCTTCTCCTGGTCACCAGGAAACAGAAGTGAGACAGCTCCTCCCGGTTCCTTGGCAAATGTTTGAGTTGCTTGCTGCACTTGATAACATTCAGTTCAGAGGCTAAAGGTGCCACATGCATGTGTCTGCACATATGTCCTTTTCATTTCCGACATTACCCATCACACTGTCATCAGTCCCTGCTACTGGACATTTTCATCATCATAAGAGTAGAATATGATTGATGGAAGAGGGGGGGGTTCCTTTTCTGCTCCCTGACTCAAATCATAATGTGACTCCTTCAGGAATGCCTGAGTCGATAAAACCTCTGCCCAACTGCTGCCATAAGTACTATGAGAAAGAGCTGCCGAAGAAACGGGTGGCAGGATACAAAGAGGCCCTCAACTGCCACCTGCCAGCAATCATGTAAGCATGTCCCCACATATATTTCCATGAAGATTGGAGGGGGAAATGGAGCAGAAATGGGATGTATAGGAAAAGAGTCTCTATCCTAGACTGGTTTGGGTTGTGGCTAAGGGTTTGGGCTTTGACTCTCAGGATTCTGAGTTCAATCCTGGTCTCTGCCACTTAAAATTGTGCCTCCTAATAAATTGCTACCATTATAAAAAACCAAGCCTGGTATCAAGTACAAGTAAGTGGGTAAGGGCCTGAAGAAGGGATGGTCAAGTCTAGAGGCCACTGAGGCCTTGGAGGACCCATACAGAGAAGCCAAAGGAAGGCTCTAGAAAACATGAACTATGTAAGTTGCAGGAAGATGTCAACTGTATACCCATCCTGTTCCACAGCCCATGACAGTCTAACTCTGTCTCCACAGCTTTGTCACCAAGAGGAATGTACAAGTCTGTGCCAACCCTAAAGAGGAATGGGTCAAAGAGTACATCAAGGATCCTAAAATACCTTTGATGCCTCACAGGAATTTAGCCTAGTCTACAGTTATCAGAAGAGTGGACAGCCCCAGCTCCTCCGTTCTTGATGATTATGCCTCTATGAAAGCCTGGGTTTGGAAGAGGAAAGAGGAAGCCTGTGAGAAAACAGCCATGCATCATCACAGTCAGGGGCAGAGGAGCAGATGGGTGGACAAAATAAAGAGCAGTACTTTGAATCGTCTCAGTCCTGAAAGGAAATGTCAAGGTTAGGAGAAATAGAAAGTCTCTCTCTCTCTCTCTCTCTCTCTCTCTCTCTCTCTCTCTCTCTCTCTCTCTCCCCTCCCTCCCTCCTTCCCCCTTCTGTTTGTGTGTTCTGTCTTTCTGTCTCTGTCTCTGTCTGTCTCTATCATTCTCTCTCTCTCTCTCTCTCTCTCTCTCTCTCTCTCTCTGTGTGTGTGTGTGTGTGTGTGTGTGTGTGTGTGTGTGTGTGTGTGTGTGTGTGTGTGTGTGTAAGTCCAAGGATGAGAAATCATCCTCATCACTCTCCCACCTTCTTCACTGAGGCAAAAATCTCTCAATCCAACCCAGAGATTCTGATACGCTAGTCTTGCTAGCCAGATTGCTCTTGGGATCCCCTATCTCCACCTACTGAGGCTGGAGTTATAGGTGGGCCACCACTCCCACCGGGCATTTATGTGGGTTTGGGGGATCCAAACACCTATCTGCATATTTTAACCACTGGGCCATATCCACACCTTCTAAAACATATTCTTGATGCCGAGAAAGGCACTTTTCTCATCCTTAACCTGCTTCACTGAGCTCAGTTTCTTACCTCACATCAATCTGCCAGTTTTCCATAATGGCCAGTTTCCAGACAGACAAAAAGCCCATCTCTAGCCTGTATATCTTGATCCATTAAAAGCCTCATATCACTCTTGAATTTTCTATACATCTTATTCATTTCCTGGCTCAGTATTTTCCCATTTTTTTAGATCTTCAATTTATTTATTTAATGTGTATAGGAGTTTTATTTGCATGCATATGTGTGTCTGTGGGCCTGAGGAGGTCAGAAGAGAGCCTTGGATCCCCTGAAACTGGAATTACATGGTTGTGAGCCACCATGTAGGTGCTGGGAACTGAAACTGGGTCCTCTGCAAGAACAGCAAGTGTTCTTTAACCATTGAACCATCTCTCGAGGCTCCATTATTCCTGTCTTTAAATATATATAACCTTTGTTTTACCAGGCTAGGATGAGAATACTAACATTAACAGTTTTTACCTTTGTGGAAGCTTTGCTGTAGCCACCTTACTCAGTCTTCCTTGGGGTGAGATGCTCACAGAGGATGCCAGCCTCAAAAGAGGCACAAATCCACCTTCCACCAATGCAGGACAGGAAACGTGCATTAGGATAAATGCTTCACATTTGCAGCAAATGTCCTAGGTTGCTGATTCAATTCTTAGCATTTTTCTAACACAAGAGAAATTTAACCTCACGGTCGCCCGCCACCAAGAGGTTTCTTTATATTACCTCAATAACTTTGTGAAGGCCAAAGACTAGAGAGTTCCATTACACAAGGACAGAGGCCAGGGAGTTCCATAACACAAGGACAGACACAGACACTAGATTTCCCCATCTCTTTACTCTTCTGTCTTTAGCTCAACAGTGGTAAACTGACTCTAACAGAATTCAGCATTCTTCCCAAAATGTTTTTGTGAGGGCAAACAAAACAAATCAGCTAAACAATTTAGAAACCAATAAAATTGTGAAGCGATCATTCCAAGAAACAGAATTCTGTTAAAGGACTCATAACTGCTTTGAAGGGGTGGGGCTGGAAGATTAAGCCACACCTTTTAGGTCAAGCTCATCCACCTGATTCAGCTGGCCAATCAGATTCTCTCAGAAAGAATGGGAAATCAGTGACTAGAAACACTGAGTGGTTGCTGGGGACATCCCACAGGAAGAAACTCAGTGTCTCTCAACTGTCCTAATGCTGTGACCCTTTACCACAGTTTCTCATGTTGTGGTGACCCCAAATCATAAAATTATTTCATTGCTACTTCATAACTATAATTTTGCTACTGCTGTGAATCATAATGCAAATATCTGATAGCAGAATATCTGATATGTGACCCATTGGAAAGGGTTGTTGAACCCCCAGGTTGAGAACCCCTGACCTATGAGCCCTTGCCCTGGAGTTTCCAAGCTGTCCTGCCTCTGGACCTTGCTCCAGGCTAGGGACTCAGCTTCTCTTTTAGTTCCACGAGATTCCCCCAGCACCTTAACAATTACCCCTCCAAACAAAAAAGTGAAAATGAAATCCTACCAGCAGTGGAGGATGCTGTCTGGGAGGCCAGTACAGGACTGATCCAGACCCCTGAACATGGATGTCTATGAGGAGGCCTCTGCACTCTAGGGGGCCCCTGGTAGTGGCTTAGTATTTTTCCCTGGTGTAAGAAGGGACTTTGAGAGCCCATCCCACGGTGAAGGGATGCACTCTGGCCCTGGACACATGGGGAAGGGCCCAGGCCCAGCCCAGGATGATGTGATGGACTTTGCGGAGCCCTACCCTGCCTGGGGAGTAGAGGGTGGATGGAGTGGGGGGTAGGTTGGAGTGGGGGAGGAGGAGGAATGGGGGTGAGGGGAGGGAGAGGGAGAAGGTATTGACATGTGAAACAAGCTTGAGTTTCAGTATATCCATGTTTGTGTAGCCATCACTTCTACTCATCCCAGAATCTTCTCATCATCTTACTCAGAAGCTCTGTACCCACTAATTACCAAGTCACTATTCTTGCCTCCTCAGTCCTGGTAACCATCCCTCTACTTTGTGTCACCATGAACTTCGATATTCCAAGAACCATACAAGTGGATTTACATAGTATTCTTCTTTTTGTGACTGCCTTATGTCAAGTAATATCCCATCTTCAAAGTTCATCCATGTTGTAGCATTCATCAGAATGTCACTCTCTTTCAAAGCTGAAAATAATCTATGCTGCACATCTTCCACAGTCTGTTTCTCCTGCCTATCCATAAATGGACCTGCAACATCTATCAATCCCACAGGGCAAAGATAAGACCATTGCCTCAATTTTGAGCCAAATTGTCTGCAAGCTTTAATTAAATACTGGCCAGGATGATGGACTCTGGCTGGATTTATTCCTGGGTTCTCAGAAAATGACCACAAGTTAATGTTGCCGAGGCTTATAAAGGCACAGTCACGAGGCCACGTATTTCCCATCAGGTTCCATCAGAGGCAAGCACATATCCTGACGTATTTCCTGCCCATGTACCTCTTGCCTACATGTGATCAAGCACATCTAAAGCAGTTGATCAAACAAACTTGTGTAAGGGAGCAAAAACATGTGGCTTGTTATCTCCCATAAACTACAGCCTCCAGCAACTCAGGAATTATCTATCCTTGTGCAAGGGGCTTATAGATTAGAGGCATTTTTTATGGATCTCTTAGGCACAGTAATTAAAGCTTAAAGAATAACTTTGGCTCTCGTGCATCATTTTTTATTTTATTTTACTTTATTGGTTTTCAATACAGGGTTTCTCTATGTAGCCCTGGCTGTCCTGGAACTCACTCTGTAGACCAGGCTGGCCTTGAACTGATAGAGATCCACCTGCCTTTGCCTCCTGAGTTCTGGGATTAAAGGTGTGCACCACCACCTGACTCACACAACCCCCTTTAATACTGCTCATAGTTAGTCATCTGATCTTAGTTTCTGTCATTTATAACAAAAGAATCTTAGTGTGGACAACGGCCGATCAGTCACTACTATACCCAGGTAAAGTGGATGACTCTACCCTCAACCCTCCTGCACCTTGCCCTGTGCTCTATCAGACCTCAAGAGTTGTAGCTACATAACATCCAGCCCCTGACCCCAGCTCACAGCCTGACAATTACACAATCACCTACAAAATCAATATACAGTCAGGCCAGGCTGGTTATTTGTAGCGTTAAACATGGGGTGAGGGGTCAGTGGCAGAGGCTAGATCAACACAGGGATCAAAACAGTAGGAAAGCATACACCCAAGGCAGCAAAAAGTACCAGAGTCCTTAGCCAGTACCAGGGTCCAACTCAGGGAACTGAGGTTCGAAGTCCTATAGAACATGAAGGAACTGCAAACAGAAAGCATAGGGCCATGGCTGGCAGATTGGGATTGAAATGGCATTGTCTTTTTTCCCCCTGCTCATTGAAGGAATTCAAGGTTAGATATCAAACTGGAGATCTAATTGAAACTATATATATCCCCACCCAGCACATAATATAAGGCTTGCCAGAAACTCCTAGGCCAGAAGGACTTTGGTTATGTTTGTTTTGAAGAGTTTTCCTAGTCTTTTCAACTCACACACTTCCCCATTCCTATAATAGGGTTATTTAAGCCCTACCCATCCTAAAGATCACGCCCACATAAACCTATTTGCAAGTATCTTACACAATTGCCAGCTTTGTGGAACACAGGAAGCCAGTTGGCAGGGAGTAGAATACAAAAACTGTATTTGCTGAATTTTTTTCTGCTCTTGTGTGACACAAAGGATTGACCCCAAGTGAGTAAAGGTCACACATAAAAACAAGAATGTTAAGTTGGGACAGAAAGAAAGTAGGAAAATAACTCTGAATAATATGAAGAACATTTTTCTGGTCACATGTCCTCTCTCTGCCACCATGAAGGTTTGGGGTGGACAACCAGGTATCCCAAGGACAGCTTTACAAATGTTAGTGGCCTTGAAAGAGGCCATGTCAATACACATTCCTTCTGAAGAGAATCCGTGCAGCACACACGTGACTGACTACTACCTACAGAATGAGTTGGACTTAATGCATATTGTTCTAAATCTGTGTCTCCAGTCCACCCAAGAGATTTCTTCTATTTCCCCTTCCCAGGGAGAGTCATGCGTTGTCCCTGCTTGGGCCCTCCTTATTACCTAGCCTCAGTCTGTGGATTGTATCATGGTTATCCTTTACTTAACACTTAATATTCACTTAAGAGTGAGTGCGTGCCATGTATGTCTTTCTCAGTCTGGGTTACCTTACTCTGAATGATTTTTTTCTAGATCCATCCATTTGCCTGTAAATTTCCTGATGCCCTTGTTTTTAACAG